ACCGTTTCTCCTGCGTCCTTTCCAAAAGCAGCATACCTAGCGTAAACATCTCACTTTTCGCTTCTTTACCCCGTACGCCCGTTGTTTCAAAAGCCAAAGCAGAGAAATTGAAATTATCGCGCTAATATGAGTGCTTATGGTTTTTCTTCGCCTCAACCATGGTGGCGGCCTCGTGGGACGTCTTGTGGCCATGGTGTCCGGGCAGGTGACGTCCCAAACCCAAGATCTTCCTTGGCTGAAGGGGACCCACGTCATGCCGTCCGGACGTTTTAGACTATCGCGGTACAGGCCTGGTCCAGAACTGAAGGGATGCTGGCCGAACCACTTGCACGTCTCTGACTTCGTTTGTGACGGGCAGCCTTTGCTTTAAGGCGCTAGAATCCCAGCCCGTGATATTCCAAAGCATCAGCAGGGCTAGACTGCCACATTTGCACCAGTGTTCAGCATAAACTGAAGCGCCGATGCGCAATCGATATTAACTTCGGTGTTTGACAACAAGGTGCCTAGGCTAGCCACTGGGACCGCTTTTAGCCACCGTCCAGATTCGGGTCGAAATACAGCTAGCAGCCAAGCCTTCTGGTTAACGGAGACGGTTTTCCGTATTACTGCTTTTTTTTCTTGATAAGCACAACCGGAAAGTCCAAAGCGCGCACATTTTCGGCACGGAGTTCCACATTGACTTCTACACTAATTCTGCACTTTCCGAAGATGTTTCGCTGTACAGGTCGGTCATGTGGGGCATCAACGAGCGCACCGCGTTGACCGAGGCAAGGAATGCCGAAGATGCTAGTAGTCAGACTGTGTGTCGCACGCCAAATGCCACGACTGTATCTGCTCTGCTGACTTGATGCATTGCATCAAGTCAGCAGAGCAGATACAGTCTAGCGTTACTGTGCGCTATTGGCCCTATTCACTTCGTTCCACTTAGCGGTTTAAAACTTCTCTAATGGCCTTGTTGCATGGGCAAGCCAGTAGCTGCTGGCTTTCGTCCAACGCAGGCAGCTATTGGTCAGCGAGGCGGCCTTGCTGTGAAGTGTGAGCTGTTAGGGCGTCCGAGGGCTCGGATCAAACCACTGACCAACTGGGAACAATCATTAAGGCAAAGGAGGGGGGTATTCTCTAGAATACCCCCCTCCTTTGCCTTCTCTAGAAGACTAACGGAATCGTTTGCTAATTTGTTCGTTTGTTCAATTTAACGGTTATCCAACGCAGCGTTCGACTTACGGTATCAATACACTACGTTGACTTTGCTCGCAAACTGCCAGTGGATCACCTGATTCGCATTCTTTCATCAACAGTACAGTGGACACTATTAATGTGGTTACACTAGACAATCGGTCCGAGGACCGATATTTAAACGGCAAGACCAACAGCAGACCAAAATACGTCGGTCATGTCCATTTCGCGTAGACTCGTATGCTAAACTCAGGCACTTGGAACTTGCACATTTCTCAACGAAAACCATCAAGCGATATCTCAGAAGAATAAAAAGAAATTCTAAGAATTTTGATACAAAACAGATTAGTTTTTATTACATCTAAAAGAAAATCGAGGCTCCTAAAGTTTCCCGTAGACATAGCATACAGTGGACTGCGAAAACCTGTTACATTCGGTCCGCGACCGAATAACCAAGCCAAATAAATGGCCAAGACCAAATGACCAGTAATCATAAAACGCGCAAGAATTTGAACACTTGCACCCTGCGCATTTCCCAACGAAAACTATCAACCGATATCTCAAACGAAAGAGAAAACAATTTCAAGAATTTCGATACTAAATATGCCATAAGTACCTTTAATAAGTATCACACGCTAGTACACACTTAGTACTGAAACAAAAAGAATATTCATAGCAAAAACACTTCCTCAATGCTATCCTGGTCGGGAATTGTACCCATCACACATATTGCGTTTCCTCTCTGTATTTGAATAGATAGCCCCTGCCTAAAAAACTTTCGCTCGTTTCTGGCCTGTTGCAGCAGCTATCCCGTTTCCAACCTTATCCACTAACGTCTTAGTACCACATCCCCATGGCCCGTAAATTTCGAACGCTGCTGCCTTGAGGTTGTACCGAGGTTGCAGCCAGGCGTGTTTTGTCAGCTTCGCCCTTTCCGCTTGTTCAGCTGCTGCTCCGACGTTTACAGAGGTACGGTCCATATACGAGGCGGCGAGTGTGTCGACGCATGTTACATCCACGGCCAGCGGTTTTCCACGCTCCCATGGTACCAGAGTAATCACATCCGGCCTTTTCTTATCCTTCAAAGACAGACCCTTTGGCTCCATTCTGGCAGGAAAACCTGCCGTTTTCAATCCACGGGCGATCTCCCCGCTTATGCCGTCGTGTCGTGGCAGTCTGCCTGCTGACCGTTTACATCGGAGCCCGTGCCGCCCCAGTTCATCCACCAAGTCGCCACATACGCACACGTGAGGAGTAACAATTGGAGCTCCCAGTCGCAGCGCGACGCTTATGCGAAAGGCATTGTTCTCCAGAAGATTACCGAGACAAGCTGCCGGTAATGCATGAATCCACACACCTGATTCCGGGACTGATACTGCTTTCAGGTGGGCGACTTCCTCCTGTGTGGTCCTTATGGCTGCCAGTCGGGAAAAGGCATGTAGCGTCGCAGGTGTGTCCCATGCTTTCTGGACCTTTATGAGATTTTAAATATGTCATCCTTTATGAGATTTAAGAGAAAATCGAGCCATTTTAGTTTGTCGTAGACAAAGCATACGATTTCCGTGTGAAAACTGCATCCAAACCGTGGACTCAAATCCTATGCTATGTCTACGATAAACTTTAAGTGTGTCGATTTTCTCTTAGATCTCCTAAAGAACAACTTGTTTGCTATCAAAATTCTTAGAATTTTTTTCTCTTTCGTTTGAGGTATGGGATGATGGTTTTCGTTGGAAAATGAGCAAGGTGCAAGTGTTCATACCAGCAGGCCGATGGCCAATCACGAATTTGCCTGTTTGAGTACAGAAAAGTGCTTGGTTGCGCGCTTTGTAACACCTTTTCGCAGTCCACTGTAGGATATGAATCCACAGTTTGGTTTGTTTTCACGCATATGCTTTGTCTAAGGAAAATTTCAGGAACCTCGATTTTCTCTTAGATGAAATAAAAACAAATTTGTCTGGTATCAAAATTCTTAGAATTTTTTTCTCTTCTTTTGAGATATCGCTTGATGGTTTCCGTTGGGAAATGTGCAAGGTGCAAGTGTAAACATCAGCAGGCCGATGGCCAGCACGGAATTGGCTGTCTGAGTACAGATAAGTATCTGGTTGCGCGCGGTTTGAGTGTAACCACATTTATGGCGTCCACTGTATCTAGCGCGCCACATTTCTTTGCGATCCGTTGCTTGATCCGCACTTTTTACTGTTTGTTTCAGTTAGTTATCAGAGCACCTACCGCCCTGTGGCGCGTTGCATTATTATCGATGTTCGGTCACTTGTTCCGAAAGCGTGTGTTTAGTGCTCAGTTAATTTGCTGAGCCGTGAAGTACAAGTGAACAATTTGCGAGTAAATTAAAGTACCGGTATTAATCCAGTAGCCGTCCGGCCGTGGAGAAAACCCGTGGGATGTTGTGACGCAATAACAAATTTTCACATGCCCAGCCTGAGAGAGAAGCTGCTACTTACAAGTTAAGGCTGATTCTAGCGGCAGCTTGTAATAGTGGCAGTGGCACCTGCCACTGGCAGTGGCAGCTTACTGGCAATCGTTAAAAGGTGGCAACTGGCAGCTGCCAAAATATCATGTTTTCTGATGCAATAAATCATCTTACAAATCTGCAGTCAAGCCTTGCCGCTATGGGTCAGTATGCCAATAATGACCTAACTTGGTGGTCGCAGTTTGAAATTTTTTGGGCCACAGTTCGCCTCCACTCACCGCACACGAAAGTCTCTTAAAACATTTGAGCTTCTTAGTTTTCTTGCTTTGTTAGGGTAGCTTTTTAAGTTTCTGAAGCGTTTTGGTTACTGTGACTTATCTTACAATTGTTAGTTTAACGTTCCGTAGGTCCGAAGTATGACGAAATCGCGTCTGATATGATCACTCACAACTACAAATAACTGTTTATCATATAGCCAAATACATTAACTTCTAAACTTAAAACCCAAATCAAGTTCAACCGTAAATCTGTTGTAGGTAACGAAACATAAATTTCGCAACCAGAAAACACAGCGAATTGCCACGTTTGTCCGAAAAGCGATACCCTACCTGTGTAACACTAAGGTGAACTTTTTTAAAATGTTACAAATTTCTGTATATTTAGGAAGCGTCCGTTTTCGTCGGTTAATATAGCTTTCATAATTTCATTAGATACTGATAATATATGGCACAGTGCGTACGACTGTACCCATCTATGTCAAAAATCATAAACATAAGAAATCTAATTGTAAGAACACTCTAAAGAACATAGGAAATTTAATGATCTTCAGGAACTCAAGAAGGTGACACAAGTAACCACGCAGACTTCGCAGAAACTACCACTTGACGATAACGTATAAAGATTGGCTGAATGTGCTACAGATTTGCGAACTGCAGACAAAATTCAGGCCGTATTTTTTATGCCACTTAAAACTAATTTACGCCTTACTACAGTGGCAGGCGCTCAGGCGCTGTCCAAGTGCTTTGATAGGCGCTTAGGCTAGAATATCCAAGATAAATTGAATAGGGATCTGCTTCGTTTTAAAACAGATTTTTTTTTATGGCCGAATCATTTCAAGTTGTTTCCGCAATTCTGAAAATTGCCATGTTTTACCGCTTACCAGTCGCAAAATGGCAAATGCCATTCCCAGTGGGAATTTCCAGGGCGGTGCCACTGCCACCTTTTACACCTTGGCGATTCTAGCTAGACCGGTACGACTGCGAGTGCAAGCATTAAGTACTTGCGCCAACTTTATTCAGCATTGGAAGTTGTTTGGTTCTTGGCGCAATCTGTATTTAATCAATTTCATCTGGGTCTCGGTTTTCTGCAATAAATTTTGTTTCGTGGTGAATTGCAGCAATGGTCGACAGCAGGGAAGATATGGTAAGCCTATAGGAGAAATTCATTGAACGTAAATATTCCGTACCTATCCTCGCAGCACATTTTTGCTTGCCAACAGTTGGCTCTACAGAAATCTATAAAGAAAAGTGGAAGGAAAAATGTGGCTGGACGGACGCATATGTGGTTGGACGGCAGTAATGCAAAACCTGAGAAACCCGGCATGTTTGTCTGGCATGACGCAGTGCTAACTCCGATTGATGGAACAGCAACGTGAGTGAAGTGCCGTTACTTAATTTTATGAAACCGGAGCGATTGAATTGCTGCGATTCTAACAGTTAACGCACTTGTAGCCGAAAGGAAGGTAAAGCGTCACTCCTTGTACGCTATATCATAGTACTAATAATTACTACTACGTACCCCTTGGTCCTTATGAAGATCTGTTTTGAATATTTTTTTACATGCAACGGATTCGTTTTCGCGCTCCTTGCGGTCTTCGGACGCTATTCATAATTTCCCGGTAATGGCGATAGGAAGCACGTCGGGCCTGCGCTCAAGCTCGAACTTGGACTTTCTACAACTTGGACTTGGACTTCTTAACTCGGACTTGGAACACACTTGGACTTTTTTCAACATGGACGTTTCTATTAAACTTGGATTTTTCAACTTGGATTGCTCAGGCTTTAGAATTTTCTGTCTTAGGCCCTTAGGTTTCTTAGGTTATTCTAAAATTTCTTAAAATTCTTAGATATCTGAGGCTATTCTAAGGTAATTCTTAAGTTTTCTTAGGTTTTCTTCTCCTTTCCCCTTTCGGCTTGCGGAGCAAGCCGAAAGGGGAAAGTTGTCGAAACACAGCTGGCTGATGCCACGATACGATTTCGTTGTGGCGGCGCTCGAGATTCACGGACGTCGAGCGGTGGCACTAAGAAACTTGTGGACAAGGTTGGAAGCTGCTTAATTTCTGCCACTGGCCAGAAACGCGCCAAAGAGTTTTTTCGGCATCGCTTATCTATACAGATACAGCATGGGAATGCGATATGCGTAATGGGCACGATTCCTGAGCAAGGCAGTATACACTACTATACTGTAGAGGAATTTTTCTTGTTGTGATTGGGGTGTATCTGTTGCGGATGATTGTTTCATTGTTTTCAGTGGAATCTGTGTTAGAAACAGTTTTGAATGACACTAACAGTAAAGACTAATTCTTAAGTTACTCTTAGGTTATTCCTAGATTTCTTAGCCTTCTGTGTTCTTTTATTAGGTCAACAATGGCTTTTTTTTTATTTCAGATCTTTTCTTGGTAACTGGGAAAAACCTAAGATAACCTAAAAATATCGAAAAGTTTAGAATCCTGAGAAATCTTAGAATAACCTAAGATAACCTAAGAATATTGAGAAACCTCAAAAACCTAAGAAACCTAAGACTAACCTATGAATAACCTAGGAAACGTAAGAAATAGGATATCTAGGAAACCTAACCACAAGAATAACATAACATTCAAAGAAACCTAAGTAAATCAAAATGTAGGTCCAAGTAGAGAAGTCCAAATTAGGAAGTCTAAGGCCTTGTCCCGAATTCGAAGCGAATCTCGCTATGGTACGGTTGCTCAACCGCACGAGGTGGCTGTATGCAGTGGCCACGCCTATAGATACGGTACGCGAAGCCCCCTCGCGAGGTGGAGTTGCTGTATCGCAACGAGATTCGCTTTGAATTCGGGACGAGCCCTAAGTCTAAGTTATGAAGTCCAAGTTAGAGGTCCAAGTTAAGAAGTCCAAGTTAAGAAGTCCAAATGTGGTCTAAGTCCAAGTTTTAGCAGTCCAAGTCCGAGTTAATGGTGGTCCAAGTCCAAGTTTTAGCTTGAGCGCGGGCCTTTACTTTTACTGGTGACTACTGCAACCTAGACTTCTAAACTCGGACATTATTACTTACGTGGACTTGTTAAGTTGAACCTTTTTGGTTTCTTATGTTTTTGTTATATGTGCCCATGTTTTTTGAAGTTTTCTTGAGTTTTCCATTGGTTTTAAGTTTTTAAGTGTTCTGATGCTTTCCTGTTTCTCTTCATGTCTTTTGTAGATTGGGCCACGTGTGCAGCAGGCTCCGACCACTGGCCAGCGAAGCACCGTTCTAGAATCCTCTATTGTTATGCGGTTCGTGCGTGTACTACGAGCGAGGCACCTGTGAGCAGCGGCGTAACGAGCTCAAAGGTTTCGGGTGGGCCACAAGTACTGGCTTTGGGGTAGGCCGTTCCCATAGACTCTATGCTATAACTTTTCGTTTGGGGTGGGCCGTGGCCCCCAAATTATTAGGCTCGTTACGCCACTGCCTGTGAGTGCCGAGTTTATTAGCGCAGCGGCGCGCAGCGTGACATCTAGAGTTGCAATTCCAAAAAACTAGAGACTTGCCTTGCAATGCGATTAACTTCACGGTTTGCTCTGGTATTCTTTTTCGTGTGAGGAATAGCTTGAGATTTGAGACCCCTTGGTGACATTTCACCGACGTCTATGGTTCTCTCATACTTCACTGGCTTGCACAGTTATATTCGGATTATCTGGCAGTGTGAGAGGTGGTGACCTTACTTCCCACTTATTCCTTGACCTTGGTCTCTCGATCTTCACGCACAGTATCGGCTGGTTGATTGATCTCCCCATCGCTTCTGCTACCATATAACGCGAAGTCAGGTAACGTAAAACGCATCTCCGTGTGTATTTCCCGTGTTTGCAGGAGGGAATCCTGGTTTCGGACTTCTTCTGAGTTAGGCCGTCTAGTTTCCATCAACCGTTCCTAACCAGTTTCAGGTAGAGTGCCGATTGGGCGTGGTCGCTATGTGGCGGAAGAGAAAAGCAGTGTTCAACGTCTTTTATCAAGCGAGCGAGCGAAGCGAGCGAGCGTTTTTAAGTTGTAGTGCGTCACGCGAAGAGCTGGGTCCCCGGGGTCCAGGGGCGAAGCCCCTTACCGGGGTTTGGGGCGGAGCCCCAATAAGCAGGGGGTGCGGGGGGCCCCAATAAGCAGGGGGTGCGGAAGCCCAATAAGCAGGGGGTGCGGGTTTCAGCGGGGGGCGCGCCCCCCGCTGAAACAATCGAGAAGGTACACAAAATTTATCAGTACTTACCGGCCCAGGTGGAGTGTTTTGGAAGAACCGTCACACAGAGAACCACCCGGGCATTATTGACGAACCCGCCGTACTAATGTATGGCGAGGGCGTAAATTTGGACCCGGTCCGGAAATTTTGACCGGTCTAGGTGGCGTGTTTTGGAAGAACCGTCACACGGAAAACCATTTGGGCATTATAAGCGAACCCGCCGTACTTATGTAAAGTGAAACCGTATATTTTAACCCAGTCCGAGAATTTTGACGGGTTTAGGTGGTGTGTTGGGTGAGCCGTTAACCGTCACGCTTAGAACCACCTGGTCAATATAGACGAAGCCACCGTTCTATTGTATGGTTGCGTAAATTTGGACCTGCCCCGGAAAGTTCGTTTTCGGTCCGGAACTTAGTTTCACGACATAAAAATAAATCCAGGGAACAACGTTTAACAAAACTGAAGAACTTTTGATATATCAAAACGGCGTTGAGCATTGTAAAAGGGAGAAGGTTCAACTTTTAAAATGTTTTTTTCCGGCAAGCTTTCAGTAGGCACTTGCTTGGTTCCCAAAATGCAGAAAGACCAAGCAGACATAAACCTCGGCTGTATTTTAGAATCCAGCCGGCCCAATTGAGGCCAATCTACCTGCTGCTGAAACTTCTACGGCTGTGCCGTCGCCATCTCGAGACTGCTACTCACTGATGGGTCGAGACTCCGAAAAAACTGATAGTACTTGCGTGACACGGACCAGGAAATAAGGCAATTTTTATTTGTTTTGTTATTAAAATGAAAGACAGGTGCAACATTTTTGATGCATCTGGCGACGTCCGAATCGTTGCCAGCTGCAACAAGAATGTGACCAAACGCATCACGTTCACAAGCAAACCCGATGTCGCTATCACAAGGTATACAAGAACCTGAATTGGCGGTTTAATCTTGATCGGTGGTTGACCCACCACTAGAACCCGCAGCTCGACAGTTGCAACAGTTCAAGCAGGTTTCCGATTTATTGCGCCTTTGGAGGCGGGCTTCAAACAAATTTGTGGCTGCGGCTATGAAAATTACTTAAAGCCATTTATCACAATCACAGGATACCGTCACTAAAGATTAAAGGTAAATATTGCAACGTAGTATCCAATAATGCAACGTCCAAATTATGCAACGTAGATTAAGCGATTGCAAACTCAATCGTTTAATTGACTCCGATTAAGTTTATCTGGAGTTGCTGAGCGAAATCAACTCCGTCCTTACCGACGAGTCACCAGAATGGCATCATACCAAATTGTTCTGCAGAATTGAAGTGTGGATCGGCAGTCGATCCTTAATCTGGGTCCAGCCTTGACAAGCTCTTCGTAAAATTTTTTTGGTCATTTTAACGGATCTTTTACCGGCCATTTGGTCTTGCTTTCACCGCTTTTCGGCAGGATCGGTTAACCAACTTAAAGATATTGAGGCACCACTGAACCACCAGTAAATTTGCGTCAGTGAGTATCTAAAGATTCGACCAGACAAAACTTGGAGCGATCCGTCAACAATTTTTGGAAGTTCCCGTATCGTTTTAGTATCGAGCCGCAGGATGCAGATCCCTGCCAGGTTCCTCGAGCCAGAACTAAACTCTAGCAAAAGCTACACTCCGTTGAAAGGCCTATGGTGGTTGCTGGAGCTGTACAACATAATTATCTCACTCAAGAAAACGTGGTCGCAGCTCACAGCAGCAAAAACCCGCCCGTCGGAAAGTGCAAAACCTGGGTAACTGTGATACGACATTGAGAGACGGCTCTCAAGTCCCGCATGAAGACTCGAGTTGAAGCAGACCAGCTACAAATAACTGCATACAAATGCCTTTAATAACTGGCAGATCAGTGATTCGAGAAGTTGTTTTCCTAAACTCGACCGGAGTAGACAAAAATCGTCCGAGCATTGACGCATGAGATCTAAAAATGGCCGACGCCAACAACCGCAATAATTTACATGGAGCTGAAACCTCCACACAGACAAAACCAAACAACAGAAAGAATGGCTTGCAAACCGAACCAGCTGCACCTATGGGGTGCCCCAGCCTATCCCGATACCAAAAACCCCAGAGGCAATGGAGAAAAAACGAAATTGAAACAGATCACACGGCTATCTCTGCTCCCCCCCCAACACCCTAAAAGGAAGAAGCCATCAGGCGGGAAGACAGGCAATAGCCCTCCACATGGAGTTTATGGAGTATGGGATCCCTGTACCACATGGCTTTGAAATTCCGCGCTTAGATTTAAACATGCCTACCTGCCGGTCCATGGAGTACCCGCACCCATCTGGAAAACAAGATACCAGCATCGTGCAGAACATGTGGCAAAGAGAATCTCATGAAAAAGAGGGCCCTAAAAAAATTTGCCACCAATGACGAGCCCTTATGCGCGGAAATTACAGTTCAACAGCCGAAATGAGGGGAAAGAAATAAATGCCACCCCCTTGGACGGCTCCGACTATCCTTGCTTAACGGTAGAATACCAGATTTGGCACTGCGATACGAATATCGTTCAAAGCATCTGTTACCTGAAGTGACGGCAAGTCGTCGTTCCCATTCCCACGGACAAGGTAGAAAAGAACAAGACCTACCCGGGAGACCCTTGGTATGCTAACCAGGATATTTACCTAAGTCTACAGCCTGCTGGTTAATGGTGGGTAACCGACACTATCGGCGATTGATTACGGGTTGCGAAGCCACTGTGCCACCGAATAGGGCACAAAAAGACCACCGCAGCCAGATAGCCCCGCCACTAAACGCAAAAAATTCACTATCTGCTTTGTCAAATGCAAACCGCCATTTTCAAACAAATTCTCGCGTATCTGCTCCTGCTTTTATTCATCACCTGAACCGAATTTCATTGTTTCAAATCTTCCGCATGCCAGTATGCGCAAAAAAATCAAGAGCCACTGTTGTTTAACTGCAGTGGCTCTGACATCCCAAAATCATGGACTCGAATGGGTTTTGGAAAAGTTGGCTTTGCATTCATTTATTCGTTGTTTAACTGCCAGTTACTTTATCGTTTTCCGTCGTAAGTAGTACCTTATCGGTTATTACCATAATTACTATATCATTTTCCGCCACCACTTACCCTTGTTTTTTCGCTTTTACTTGATTAACCACTTTTTGTTACTTGAATCATACTTTTACATTCAACTGCCTTAAGCCTGCGCTTTCCGCGAAGTGAAGGCCAACTACTCTCCTTATCTCTTGCAGTCACAGCAGAAATGCATCCCACTGAGTGGAATAGTGTTTCTTCTATATTGTATTTGAAATAAGGATATGTTTTATTCTCGTTTCATTTTTTCGCTTTGCGACTCTCTTTGCTATTTCGGGACCATCCCTCACGCCGCCAGGTGTAGCATTGTTTATTGGCTGGTTGCGGCCGTCAAGTTGAAGAGCTGCCTCAAAATCTTAAAACATGCCGGTCAGCACTCCCTGTGACCATGATGCTTTTGGCTGCAATCCTAAGGCCGGCTTGCGCTAAGCCAGCTGTGCTTAACGATTTTTCTCTTTGCTCCGACTGTCCACTACCCCTTTGGAGCTAAGCGCGTTATGTCAGACTGTCAACCCGCTCCCGACTGCCTACTCTTTCCTGCGTGCAAAGACCGGCTTTGCTATTCTCCAAAACATTCCATTCGGCCGACCGCACTCAGAAACAAAATCTCAATGTTATAAGTCCCGTCGCCGCTAAGTTACCTGTCAGTACTGGTGGTCGTGTCCGTGGACGTCAATGTCGTGTCAGTGGGCTGACCTCACTAAGCCGGCTATGACCCGGTGTGACCCGGTAGCCTGAACATGTTTAATTTGAAAAATAGTTAACGCTATTTCTGCACAGACAGACATCTGCTTAATAATCGCTTTTTGTCTATAACAAACAGACAAGTTTGCGGGTTGCCAGAATTGTATGAGATCATTTATCGGGTTTTGCTGTGGGTTCTTATTAAAAATTTACAGCAGACTTCATTACCCAATAAAAGGATGTACCCTTCTATACCCTATTTATACCCAATAAAAGGATGTAGAAACAAATACAGTCGTCTTATTCTGAAAGTCGGTGCCAGGACCGACATAGTATAGGACGTCTGACGTAAAAGCTTACCGATATGTCCCAGCATATGATGCAGCTGGGAACGGTAAGACAGACCCTCGCATGTTTACTGTTGTTGGTGTTTTATCCAAAGAAGTTTTTGCACAAAAAAGTCTTACACGCTCGCTCGCTTGCACTAAGGGCGGTTACGACCTTCTATACTAGTTTCTATCTATCGCGACAATAGGTAGTCGCAGCACGCAGCTGTGAACTGGCTTCTCTCTTGTTACCAGCCGCAAGAAAGTTGCAAGTTGGAGGCCAATTTATGCAACCAGCCTAACACTTCTGCGTCAGGGGGGAGGAGAAGCACGCAGCCACATAGTTGTAGCTCTGTCGGTAATGTGAGCCCAAGTGCGTGCAACTGTAAGGCGCAGACAAACTATCGCTAGCGCATTACCTGCCTGGCCTCTTTATATTTATGCCCGATTCACCCCCCAATTCTTCTACTTCATTCGTCTGAGATGCTATTTATGAATTTCAAAAAGCAAGACTTTAGATTCAGAATGAGCGTTAAGTTTTACCAGTGCTCTGTGTCTGACAAATTTCTATCGTATATGGATGGTCCGCAAATCACTGCCGCACGTTTACAACTTAATGGCCGCTTCGGCCATTGTATTTCATTTGTCTTTTAAGAAATGTTAACAAGGTGTGACGGCAAAAATGTACTCGCACTGAATTTTTTCACACTGTAGTTCATTACCAGAACATTCCTATATACCTTGCTTTAAGTTTTAAGTATAAATTTTCCTCCTGTTGTGTCTGTCTTTTGGTAAAACGTATGCAAAAGGCGAAAGGGCCCACGAAGGCGAACACCGCTTCTGTGTTATCCTTGTCCGAAAGTATTCCCATTTCGCAGATGATTTCCTCTTTGATCTCTATCAGAAGTTGCATAAGGGTACTTTGTCAGATGCACGATCATAAGGGTACTGCATATGTAAGGGCATAATGGTACTTTATTTGATGTATGAGTATTATAAAAATTATAATGCCTGCATTAACTGTGGCAGTTAAAAAAAACCCAGTTAGGTTTCAAATGGATATGTTACGACAGTTCAGTTAGTACAGGCTTACAGCTGTTTTGTTATGTCCACTGTGATGTTATAAATACGCTCACTGGAAATGCTTAGAAGAAGTGCCCACGATCTTTTGTGCACGCTCGCTGTTCACGCTCACTTGCCAGTGAGCATGCTCACGAGCATGGACGAAAGAAAGTTCTGCAGCGCTGTTAATCTATGTATGTAGCACATAGGAGTTTGGTCACTTTTGCGTAAGCCGATTCTGTTTGAAGTTTAAATGATTAAAAAAGGAACTTTGCTACTTTGTTTTTCAGTCAATGGGAAGGCAAAGATCCATTCAAATCTAAAAGCAAACCATTTCCGCACAATGACGAGAAGGATCAGTATGTCTGCTTAAGAGCTAGTAAACTAGGAGTCTTTTTGGAGCATCACAGCATGAATGACGAAGCATCAGTACACAAGTTTATACCTGCCGTTGCTTGCATGACTCCAGCAGTACCGGATGGCCAGTAGCATTGGATGCACTGATATAGTACTGCAGCCTCAGAATTGTCTTATTCTGATTGCCACTGGTAACAACGTAACCGGAAACATATGTACCGTCTTTTTCAGTACAGTAGAGATCTGAATGTGTGTTATCGGTTATAAAGTTTTCGGAAGGGTTCTGGATGCAATATCAGCAGACATGCCGCCGCTGCTCCAAACCAATGTTCTTATGTTTGATTATGTTTTGTAAATTTGTATGGTTTTGACCAGCTTGTACCGGAAAAATGCGTGAAGTATCTTGACATTCATATCGAGAAAACGTGAAGTGGGAAGAGCAGTGACCGTTTACTGTGGAAGGTAAATTACGGCATTGCAATGATAAAACCAGCGAACGATGGCTTGGACTATGGGTCGAATACGTGGTCATCAGCATCTTCTACTTTGAGCCGGACAGTGGGAAGATTTCTCTTCATTCTCATAAACCACGACATGTAAATTCTATTGGTCTAGTGCCCAAAAAGGGCAGCGATAGCCTGCGGCCGATAACAGACTGCAGCCGACCGGTCTACCGACAACTGGTTATTAAACGATTTTATCAACGCCAATACTTTCGAAGCGGTTGATAGCGCTATCTCTTGCAGTCAACGCAATTGCTTTTTCGCTATTGTTGACTCAAGAGCTGCTTACCGGTCAGTATCGATTTGCACGCCACATCGTCAGCTGCATTGTTTTTCTTGCAATTTTCTTGTGAACACGAGATTTTATATATAGACACCTTTTTTGTGCTTTTTGGTTGTTGTTGCTCTGTTTGCGGGTTTGGGACTTCTTTTTTCCATGGCTACGTTTGTCGTAGTAATGCGCAGCGGTCACAAAAATGTTTCAGTGGCAAATTTTTTTGAGATTCTGCTCGCTGGCTGGCGTCGATATTGCGGAAGATGTTTGTCCACTCTATGACGTTTAACACATCGCTCTGTTGCGCAAGTGTGTGTAATGCCAACGTTCCTTGTGGATCATGTGCGGCATGCGTCATGAGTCAGGTACATAATCATAACCATGGTCCATGACGGGCGTGCTTAAAGTGGATACCTTTAATGGATGTGGTTGGTTGCACAATAGGTTCTTGTGATAAGTAAGCCAAAGGGAGTGGCTTGAACGATAAGAAACAGATGACTGAGCGGGAAGAAAGGAATAATTTATTGCGTATTACCAATTGTGTGTCTTTATTATCTGCAATATTTTGTCTCTCGTAACATGCATGAAAAGCCTGGCCTAAAAACTACCATGATGAAGTTGTGGAATGGATCCAGTACATCACCTGCCAGGCTCGCAATAACCCTCCCTTGGAATATTTTAGCACTGCATGCCATTCCGTTTAGCATTCGATTTGTTGTCTGCCAATATCAGTTAAACAATATTGGGTCAGTTCAGCCGCGGCCGGTTGGGTTGTAATTATCAGCGGTAGGAAGGTCATATCCACCTGTCCAGAGAAATGCGAAACAGGACGATGCTACCCGAAGCCGGATACAACTCGAAATGCCTGCCTTACTTTAACCCTGGTTAAGCACTACCAAGTTGGGAATTACTTACGTATTTCCCCGCTTAAGTTGTTGCCAAACCTGTGAATTAAAAGAATACAAAAAACCGCTAAGCGCGGCAGAAATTAAAGCTCCTACGATATCTCGAACGAAGCTAGCTGAATCAGAAATCCCATAAAGCAAAACAAAGAGGAAGAACCGGATCACATGACTGTAGATTCGGTTTTCTGATAGCTTACTTTGTATTTGGTTTAGGTTGAGTGCATTTTCCCACTGCAGATGATGCAAAATATAGAGCGTAGCACCGACATATATGCATGACCTTTACGCATATCATACCAGATAATTATTTTTGTGCCTTTAATAGGTTCTTTTGTATTAAAGTCGCGGTTTCTTACGTTTTCTTAGATTCCTGAGGTTTTATAGGCTTCTATGGTTTCTCAGCTTTCTTAGGGTTCTTAGGTTTACTAAAGTTTCTTAGGTTTCCTAGGTTACAGAAAACCAATCAACTTTCGAACCGAAAAAAGTTATAAAAACTACAATACTAACGGTAGATCAGTATAATTGAAAGCATTGAATGTTATCTCGTCCGGATGAACTTTTCATAATGAATGAACTTCTGGATGAGAGGTCATAACCAAAAATGCGTCCAATAACGTCCTACTGTCTTGTTATTAATTTTAAAGTTGTGGTCACTTTCTGCGGCTCAAAAGTATTCAGGTTTTTTGTGACTTAAGAAACCTAAACGACCTAAGAAAACCTAAGAAAATCTAAGAAAACCTAAGAAGCCTGAGCAACTTAAAAAACCCAAGAAACTCAACAAAACTAAAAAACCTAAGGAACCTAAGAAACGTAAGAAACCTTTGAAACCTAAGAATCTTAAGAATTATAAAAAAACCTAAGAATGACCTGAGAATAACAGAAGAATAAGCACGCGAAAACAGTATACGAAAACGTACTACCCGTAGTAATCCAAGCCTTAAAATAAGTAGTCCAACTTAGGAAATCCAAGTTATCCAGGTTAAGTAATCTAAGTTAAGTAATCCAAGATAAATAATCTAACTTATGTAATCCAAGTTAAGGATCCAAGTCCAAGTTTGAGTAATGCGAATCCAAGTCTGAGTAATCCGAATCCAAGTTTGAGTAATCCAACTCCGCATCCGAACCCAAGGTTCAAGGCGGGCCCGTTCAACGTTGCATAATGTGTTACCACTTCCACAAATCAATTTCCTTCCGGTTTTTTCCTTTACCCAGTTCAGGTTGGCGTACTCTATACATAGCACTTAAACATTTGAGAATTAAACAGTTTACTTGCAGTTGCGGCGTGGAAAAGCGGTGAAGAAACAGTAAGTAAAGCAAAGTTTTTACGCGAGCCACTGCACAACACCATTATTGTTGTAGTCACCACCACACGTGTGCGGCTGCGCCTTCGTCGTGCAAACGGCATACCTGCACAATGAAACTGCAGAATACAACTAGAAATCAACTTTCAGAAATAAGGTAGTATATCAAATAAAACTTAAATAAACCAAGCTATTCTGGCCCAACCGCACATAATTATGTGAGACAATGGGAGTGACTGCAGTACTCATGGTGCAGATCAATGGCTGGCGTGGCTTGGCTTTTGTGTTATGTCACCGTTTCTTAGCGCCGCACTTTTAACGGTTCAAGACTTTTTGAAATTTTTATGTACTATGTAAAAAGTACGCTTTGCTAAATTGAATAAAGGAAAAAACCGAAAGGAAATCGCTTTGTAGAAATTGTAAACTTGTAATATGGTGGCCACTTTGTACGACCATTACCCATTCCCTTAATACAAGGTAGCCTCGCGCATCCGCGCTCGGCACTTATGTACTGGATAAAATTAGCTTTATTTTGGAAAGGTCATTAAAATATAAAAAAGTCAGAATTATGAAAAAGTTTTTTAAGACTTTGATTGTAATCGTATAAGTATAGGCTTTGATAGTCGTATTTTATAAGACGTAATGACGTTCTAACGTTTAAATTTTTGACGTTCTAACGTTTTCATGTTCTGACGCTCTGAATTTCTGACGTTATGACGTTTAAAATTTTTTACGTTCTGATGTTCTGAGTTTCTGGCGTTCTGATATTCTGATGCTCTGACGTTCTAACGCTCTTAATTTTTTACGTTCTGACGTTCTGATATTCTGACGTTCTCAAGTTCTGACGTTCTGAATTTCTGACGTTCTTAATTTTTCACGTTCTGACGTCTAATTGTCTGACTTTCTAAAATTTTGACGCTCTGAATTTCTGACGTTTTGACTTTCTGAATTTTTCACGTTCTGACTTATGATATTCTGACGTTCTGAATTATTGACGGTCTGACGCTTTTTATTTTTCACGTTTTGACGTTCTGATGTTATGACGATTTGATGTTTTAACGTTCTAACGTTTTTAATGTTTCATGTTCTGATAGCCTTACTTTCTGATGTTCTGACGTTCTAACGTTCCATGTTCTGAATTTTTCGCGTTGACTTGTGATATTCTGACGTTCTTAATTGTTTACGTTCTGATTACCTGACATTCTGATCTTCTGATATTTTTACGTTTTGACGTATGCAGACACTGTACAGATAAATGCGACATAAGGTGCGCTGTGCTTTACCTTTTATGGACGCTTACCAAATGAGGTAGTACTACAAGTAATTTACGTACTACTTGTACAGATATGAGTAATTTAATGTACTATGAGTAATTTACGTACTATTAACACAATAATTATCATCTGCACTAAAAAGCTATTACTTATTTATGCATTCGCTATGGTCGGTTTAAGTCCAGCTTGGTTACCTTAAGTCGGTTACCTTTTATGGACGTGTACCAAATTAAGTAACTTACTGTTCACACAGTAAGTAGTTATCATCGTCACTAAAAGGCACGTATTTATGCATCCGCTATAGAATCTCCGTGGTTACAGTCGTTATGTTAATCGTAAGTACTTTTTATTGCTGTGCAGTGAATACTTCTTTGAGTGCTCTTTACGTTTCTTATACTTAAGACATGGTGAAACCATGTTCTGACCACTGGTTGTTTAAAAACAAACGAAAATCTATTGGCACACCTATGGAAAATATGGAATTTTTTAAGACCAAGCTGGACTTAAACTGACCACGAGTTGTCGAGGAGATGAAAACGGCGCATAAATACGCTTTGGTCGGTAAGCTTGTATGAATACAAGGTATGCCTCGCGCTCCGCGCTCGGCAAAACCCTCTTGGACGGAAACTAATATTTGACCTCCCCACGATTTTTTCTTGAACCTGTGACCACTGGCTATTTTTCACCTTTTTCATTAAATGGTCCGTGCAATTTCGATTTTTCTCTACATTATTGCACTAATTGCTGCCTCCGTGGCAACAATTTGTTTTACTCGTAAGAATGTACTGCAGTACCTCGCTACCACTGTACCAGTAAGTATCTAAAGAACGTGATTATATTAAGAACTCCATTTTCTATACTTAAGAACCTGTCAAATTTTCTTCTGACCAACGGCTTTCAAAACAAAATCAAAATTCAGAAGGCACACCTATGGAAAATTAGGAATTTTTCAAGACTAAGCTTGACTTAAACTGACCACGCGTCGATTTATTCATAAAAACCCAGGAAAAATACGTTTTGAACGGTAAGACTGTATGAATATAGAGACAAGGTAGCCTCGCGCATCCGCGCTCGGCACTTATGTACTGGATAGTATTAGTTTTATTTTGGAAAGGTCATTAAAAAATATGAAAGGCCAGAATTATGGAAAAAAAGGTTTTTAAGACTATGAGTCTATGATTGTAATCGTATATACGCTTTCGTAGTCGCATCTTATAAGACGTAATCACGTTCTAGCTTTCTAAATTTTTGACATTCTAACGTTTTTAATTTATCACGTTTTGATATTTTGATGTTTTGACGTTCTGAATTTCTGACGTTCTGACGTTCTGAATTTCTGACGTTCTGACGTTTAAAATGTTCACGTTCTAATGTTCTGACGTTCTGGCGTTCTGACCTTTTGAATTTTTCACGTTCTGACTTCTATATTCTGACGGTCTGACGTTCTTGATTTTTCAAGTTTTGACCTTTTGATGTTCTGACGTTTTGACGTTCTAACGTTCTATTTTTCACGTTCTGACTTTCTGATATTCTGACGATCTCATGTTCTGACTTTCTGAATTTCTGACGTTCTGACGTTCTTAATTTTTCACGTTCTGACGTTCTAATTTTTCTGACGCTCTAATACTCTGACGTCCTGATGTTCTGACGTTCTGAATTTCTGACGTTCTAACGTTTTGAATTTTTCACGTTCTGACTTATATATACTGACGTTCTGACGTTTTTAAATTTTTTAATGTTTCACGTCTGATAACCTTATTGTACAGTACTTTCTCATGTTCTGACGTACTAACGTTCTTGATTTTCTACGTTCTGACAGTTCTGATATTCTGTCGTTCTCATGTTCTGAATTTCTGTCCTTCCGACGCTTTTAATTTTTCACGTTCTGACGTTTTAGCGTCTCACGATCTGAATTTCTGACGTTCGGACATTCTAACGTTCTTAATTTCTCGCGTTCTGACTTCTGATATTCTGACGTTCTTAATTGTTCACATTCTGATTCCTGACATTCTGTTTTCTGACGTCCTGATTTTCTGATATTTTTACGTTTTCACGTAGGCAGATACTGTATATTGGACATAAGGTGCGCTGTACTTTACCCGTTATGGACGTTTACCAAATTAGGTACATAATGTATTTACGTACTACTGACACAATAATTATCGTCTACACTAAAAAGCAAGTACGAGATTTATGCATCGCATAAATACAGTCATTATGTTAAGTACTTTTTATTGATGTGCAGTGAATACCGTACTTACTTCTAATTGAGTGCTCTTTACGTTTCCTATAGTAAGTACTTAAGACCTGATGAAACCATCTTCTGACCACTGGTTAATAAAAAAAAACAAAAATCTATTGGCAAACCTATGGAAAATATGGAATTTGTTAAGACCAAGCTGGGCTACAACTGACCACGCGTTGACGAGTCTATAAAAACGGCGAATAAATACGTTTTGGTCGGTAAGATCGTATGAATACAAGGTAGCGGTCGCGCTGTTTTGTTTGAGGTAATGGAGGTGTTGAAAACGTTTTGAACAGTTTTGCCTTCAGAAATTTTAACTTCATAGAAAAATTGTGAATTTTTTATGCCGCCGTTCTAAATAAAAAATTCCAAAGCTGCAAGAACTTAAAAATAATTGCGAAGTACCATAATTGCGAAATACCATACACTTTTCCGGAACCTTGCGCTCTTCCACTTATTTTTCTAACTCCCATAAAATTTTCGGCGAGCCCGCCTTTAA